GAACCAACCCCTATGGTATAATGCGCTTTACTGAATATTCAAACATGGTGAATCCCGACTCCTTAAGACAATACTGGGATCCGTGAACAATAGTTACTCCATTCACAGGTCATCACATCGTCTCCGGATTTGACCCACTTGGCTACGCATTTTCTATTATGTTTTCTAGAGCAAACGCTAACGGAATAAAAACGAACCGCACAAGCGACAGGTGAGTAACCACGGAGAACTGTCCTGATCTATGGTGTAACAAGCTGTTAGCAACTGCCGATAATGAATTCTGAGAACGCCGCAAGGAAGATTGGAAATACAACCATAAAACTTCTTCTACTGGTGCTACCCTCATTTGATGGTTTTCCAAAGTACCCCCTTCTCCGCATTACGAAGAAAGCGGTGCCAGAATAATGAAAGTCATATGGTGATACTGACAAATGAATAGGTGGCGTGAACTCCGTAGAATTTTACCTTCAGAACTGCTGTTAAAGAAGGTACATGTTGATCAACGTCCACCTGACAATTTAGCTGGTGAACTAATAGGGGTTAATGGGTTTTTCACCGCGGCGCTTCAGAGTTCGATTCACACAGACCCATAACCGCCGATATGGCTGTCATTTGATAGCACTTGTCTTGTGCAACTTTGGGTAAAAATGAATTATCAGGACCTATAGAAAACTCTGCACCAGCAATCAGTTAAAAAGCCACTAGCGGTCTATCGTCAGACGGTAGGCCGAACACTTAATCTAAATTCGTTATCCACCGAAGTACTCATAAGGTCCGAAATACTTGCATGTATCCTTGCATGTACCTTGACACCCAAAGCATTAGCGATATATTAGCCGAAGTTGGGGGGGCGCCACGCTTGACAAGTAGGTTCTCATGTCTGGTAAGGAAAAATGGTTAAGCCTTCAGACAACTGATTTTTTGAACACTACGCTGAATGTCGCTTTTTCGTTAATATAGAGATTAAATCCGTGGTACAAAACTTACATACGATCATCTAAAATCCCTGCTCCTGGGTTGTTTCGATGCCAACTATGGCTACGGAATAAGGACACAAGTTTACTGGCCGTAAAGTGTTATGTACCTAATTCTACATCGGAAATGGACCAAGTTTCGGAGGTTGTGCTGAATACATCTCACAGTTACCTTATCTCGGGGGAATTTAATTTGTATGACCCAGAAGTGCCTGACAGAGTGTAACAAACTTTAGGGTATGTTTGCATGGTTATTTTCAGGCACCTCTGTACAGTCACGTCCAACCCACCAAAATTCGAACTGTGAACAGACCGTAAATACTTGATCTTGTGCTTACTGTTGAAAGGCATATGACGGAAGGAATAGTTACAAACATTATTTGGTCACATTCTTTGACAGTATATATCTTTTGCGGAATATTTGAAGAAGAGAATGGTAAAGTAAATAGCGTCACACCCTTTGACGAGCTGTTCGCGCTTGATAAGGAGACAACTTTGAGCTTTTTTATCTGAATGAGTCTCAGAAATGGCTTTGGAGACATTCACAGTAACGACATGGACACTTGTAGTCCACACAGTTGAGCAGAAATCCTTTCATCGTCAAAGCAAAAACAAGTCCTTTCTAAGGATAGAACACGTAAATGTATGTCCCCGAGGGACTTTTCATGACCAGCTAACGAGGACTGCCTGAATACCGGAACCTGGACTGCATACGTAGCACAGCGTTTATCTCGAGGAAATTGAACCGCAAGGACAAAGTAACGCATCAGAAAAAACTAATGAGACCATTTTGTCCGAACCACAAACTTCTACACACAAGAATGTTATGGGCCTTTGTGAGATACAGTGCGGTATCCCATCACTCGTTACGACTGACTGGCACACCCTACGAGCAAAGGGAGCGAAGGATGATCTAGGCGTAATCACTTTCATAAGTTCCATAGGGTAAGGAATCCGAGTTTGCTCACCGCTTCTGATTTCACGCCCTCAGTTTATATACACTATCAGCTTCAATACAGATGCCGTTTTAAAGAAGCTGTTGTACCTGCGTACCAATAATGCTCCTGGAATCGAAAATATTTGACCAGATACGTTGCAGGTTGCACCCAGTGGTCTAGCAAAAAGACTGCCTACTATTTGTCAGCGATGCCTAGAATAGAACGACATTCCACCACTATGAAAACGAGGGATCAGCAATCCTATTCATATGTGAGGTAGTCGTATTGACTCGAAAAAGTAACGCCATGTAACACTGCTTCCTGTGCTTTCCAAGCTTATAAAGTTAATTATCGTAGTTACATTTACGCAATATCTAGAAAACCACAACCAAGCTTCCACCAAAATCGCTCTGACTACTGACTTGTTAATTGTACAGAGTAGTTGAACGAAAACCGTTGGATAACGCAGTGGAAGTCGCTGTAAGCTATCTGAACTTCTTAAGGGCATTTAACCGCTCAAACCACTGAGTTCTCAGCAACAATTTTCGGAACTATGATACTGGTAACCCATTCCTGAGTTGGGTTGGAGATTTTCCACACGAACCTCGGTTGGAGATGAGAGTCCGGAATATCCATCCGACACACATAGGTCGCATGCGCCTTACCACAAGCTTCTATGCTATACGTGGTTTTCATAAATGAACTAGTGAGGACAGTTGCCTCCGACTTTCTATCATTCACAGATGGTATCAAGATATTGCGAGATATCAATGAACCAGACGACCACGGAGTGTTCCAGCACTGTCTTAACACCATTTAGAAGTAGCCAGTTCAGAATACCATACAATTCAGTGTAGAAAATATTGAGCTGTTTAACTACGCCATAGGCATGACTACATGCATTGGCTTGTGGCAACCAGATTTCAGGCCTGTTCCTAGGAACGCGAACTTGCCGTACTCGTGCAGAGTGACCTCAACTGTTCGAAACAGTTCTGAGACAGCTGCGAAGAGTGGTAACCAGCAAGTCGGGCTGTTGCGAAGGGCATTCTGGCGTTTTGACCCTTCAACCATTACTAGGCTGCGTAAGCCTTAAATGCGTCGTCACGTTAGATGGGTAATCCAAGCTTGGCAATCTTGGTCGAACTGCAACCTGGGGTGCTAGACAGCACAACTCGAGGCTACAAAACGTGTCAAGGGTCTACGCAGTAATATTTGCCGGTAAAGACTAAAATCATTAAGTCTTCAGCGGACGCAACAGAACGTTGCGCAGCCATCTTTTATTTGTTTACCAAATATTGAGTGACCCCAATCATGTATGCTGCCATTCGCTGGAAATTAACCACAGGAGCAACCTCAGAAGTAACTGCTTGAAACGGAGTCTAGCGTGTCGACGAAATTACTTTTCTCTTCGCCTTTGCAGACTTTGGAGCTCTCTCTTAAACTCACTTGTCTCCTCATCTACTTGGACATTTCCGAAAAAGAGTGGATCTTGTACTTAGCACGCAGCACTTTGTTGCCTAAACTATAATATTGTGAATTACATTGGTCATACCATTCTACCGGATTTATTTGTCATTTGGTCCCAAAGCAAAGATACATCAATAATGTTTTTATCTTCCTACAAAATACTCCCCACATTTTTGATCACTGCGAATTACCCTCCATTTCACGTCCGTCTTGTAGTAGCGCACTTAAACTGGTAGACGCTTTAACTGATGACACCTTTGTTGATTTGATTGTCTTCATCCTGCCATCCTACGGGACTTGTTAAGTCCCTGCCTTTTACCCGATAAAAATCATTCCTTATTGTATGTAACTAAAGGAACCTAACGGTGGCTTGGTTGGCACACACATCGCATCAAAATCACATTCAATTTTGACTCGGTTCTAGTTACTATGCCCTTCGAATGTACTTGTTAAATATAAGCTTTTTCAACCTCATTGATCTACCGTACAAGTAAAAGTTTCTTTTATAACTACGGTTCACTTAGTTCTCATCATGAGGAAGCTGTAGGAATCAGTTTAGCCAGAAAAGAATCTCTCAGAAATGTATCCGCATTTGGCAATTATCTTTCATACACCAATGAATGCATGAGTACACCAGTTGCCCCTGCGTAAATCCAGCTGTGCATATTTTTGCCTGTGGCTATCCACCAGCTGCTTCTGGAAACCGATGTTTCGCTAATTCACACAATGCCCTGGGGGATTGGACATTAGCATGCGATGTCCATTCCAGAACTTTCCAAATATGACAACCTACTAAAACTACGTATTCAGTTGCAAAACTGCGTACAGACACGCAGAGTTCAAGTTGTAGGAGTACGCACACCAGAACGTGCACCGAGGTCCCCAGGAAACGGAGCTGGCTACTCAGTTCAGCCAACAGATTCGTTTTCAGGGTTACACGTTGATTTGGTTAACGTACGAATTATCATAAGGGAGTTGTGACTTGCAAGGTGAGCATTTTGCTATAGTCTCCATTGGGTGGGCAGATTTTAACATCCAACCTCAGGGTGTGCCGCAATCTAATTTGAATTGAAACTCAACCACTTGTATCACTGGAACCGTAGACGAAGCAGTCAGGTGTCAACTGACGTCCTCTGGCAACAGTTGCTTTTAACAACTAATTCCAGTGATGCAACTGACAAAAGTTCTTTTAGAATCGCCGTCTAACGTACGATTGTGTGTTTCAGTCCAGTTCTAATCCCGGTGATTCAAATGAGTCGACATCAAAGTGAATAGCTGATGGCAGTCTACGGTAGCGTACTAAGCATAACCTATATCCCCTCACTTTGAGTATGCCGTGGTTATTCCACTCGCGAACAATCTGTGGTGAGTTGCATAGACGATGGGCATCCAGACGTGTGGAATAGGCACCAAGGTGGTAACATTGCTGTCATCACGTAAATGAGAATAGCTTCTTGGTTATACATTGAGATGCATCTAGAAACTTGAGTTGATATTTATACGAACTTATGCCAGCTTATGCAAGCTGATAGGGATCGCTCTTAAGGTTCGGGTTGGCGCTTAAGGGGACGAAACCTTCGCATACACTGCCAGCAACCATTGTCCCATTTCATCAGTAAGTCTACAAACCAAACGAACCAAAATCGAATACGTATACTGGTGACCTAGTAGATGTCGATGTCTGGGATCGAATGCCCTCAGCATCTGAGGAATGCGGGGAGGAAATTGTGATATTGTACTTGTGGGGAAGTTAGCGTCATCTTCCAAATTGAGTACAAGCGTTAGGGAGCAGCGACCTCGGGCGGGTCACTTCAGATAGGAGCGTGTAGGTCCTACGCCATTTCCGAAGGCAGTAACTTTCAGAGAATTAAGTGCCTAATGAGAAGAGTTTAAGAAGCAATTCTCGTGGTATCCGACGGTCTCCGTTTCTAGTTCCGACAAGCCCCACAACGAGACCGTGCTTGGCACTTGACGCACACTCTATGCGCCGGAATGCATCCCACATCCGTTTCAGAGTATAAGGAATGCGGAAGCGGGCTGTGCAGGCCACTACAACATGCACATCAGGAAATCAAGCAGACTAGCTTCATACCCGTATCTGCTGGTGAGACAGGATAAGGGTCACGTAGATGGTAGAAGACAACTTTGCTTTTCAGAGCATTCGCAGGAGCAGTAATCGATCAAGGACTGAACAGAAACAGAAAGTACCGAACAAGCTTGTTTTCAAGGCTTCGTCGTCAGGCTAATCTAACCACAATAAAGCAAGCTAGAGTAGACACAGTAGGTTTAAATTGGGTCACGGAAGCAGAGTAACTGATCGATTGGTCTACGTGCTTGGTATGATTGAGGCGAGGTCAGATGAAGTGGCGTGACTGCCATTGTTAGTCGCGTTGATTTGAGGCCAGGTCGGTGTTAGAGTATGGACGAATTTTTCTGTACACATAAGTCCGGGTTATAGAGCCGAATTGCAATCGCCTCTGCTGCCGACAGCAGGCGACATTTGACTGCCCGTGTGTAACGTCCGGGGACACAGTAGATCGGTGTGAATGCGTCATGCGAATCGATTTGATGGTCGGAGTCTACTAGGTGCGTCAATACTGCATTCGTTACATTCTTCCTCGCGCCGCTGTAAAGCCAAGCTGGGCAATGCTCTCAAGCCCTAACGGACAGTCGCCCGGTTGTTTTCCCAACATACCTTGCTTAACACGAGCAAAAGAAATTGTACACACAGAAGGAGGTCTGCGACCGAGGTATCCTGTCCTTAAGTTGTTGGCGCACAATCGGTGAGGTGAAGTTTACGCGTAGATCACCGATGCCGTCGTCATGGGTAACAGCTATCGCAGAATGGAAACGGTGTTGAAGAGTGGCATGGGGCAGCTTGAAATGTCCGCTGGATTTTAACTCTATCGGAACGAAAATATTCGGTAGTGGAGCCGGAGTGTCATGTGATTGTTTGGGCTTTGGACAGATGGTGGTCGTGTATAATGGTCTCATGTCGTAGTGGCTCACAAGGCGTTGGGCTTGATTATATCCACCACAAATCCCAAGCGTAAGTTAGTGCGACGGGCGTTGCGCCATCAGAGATAGGATATCTTGATAAACCAAATACAGGCGTGGGATAGACAAATGGTGTGTTTCTTCACGAGCACCATGAGTGTGGATAATCTGGTAAGTGTACCATTCGTCATTAATGGAATTATGTTGGAGCTCGGTTTGCTACCGTTGGCGTTTGAACAACGTATAGGCAAGCCCCTGCTTAATGGCATTACAGGTTGAATGATGCACCTATCGGCAACTATCAATAATCAAAACGATATCTTCGATTAACATCTAGCAGAACTGGCAGAGTCTAATCCAAACAACTAAGGTGCTGATGACAAATAATTATGCACCGTATTTCCGTTCGCGTCCAGCGCAAATAGGTTTGGCACATCATAGTAAAGCATCCATCAATGATTTAAAAATGTCACCTCATGGATTCATGTAGACTTCCGACAGGAAACATGCACGACGCGAACTCTTGCATAGACTTGGTTCGTCATCTCGCCCCTATCTGATCTCTATGCACACACCAGATCCGGATGCAGTTCCACAGTTGTTTTAGCCTAAATGCCTTGCGATTATTTTTATTAATTCTTCATTGAAAGAAAATGAAGTGACCATCTCTCTCCCTTATACCTGCGTATTTCATCGCCAGAAAAACAATGAAGAAGGGTTTTATACGGCCTCGGAAGTATTAATTTAGAAGCGCGCTGAGTGGTTTTACAATTGTCGATAACGTTAGAAAAGGTAGTCAGCGCTTTTACTGACAAAAGTAGAACCCCACATGTTACATGTTCGTAGCAGTAGTTCTGCCGCCTTCGGCATTTTTACGACACCAGTAGGAAACGTATAGTAACTCTATTGTTTATCTCAGCACCGGAATACTGCGCTAATGATAAGTGGGGAAATATAGGTGGTTGATTGCGTCGGCCAACCATCTTTTAAATCTGGTTAGTGTAGATTAGAAAACTGCTAATTAGAAGAGTACGATCTAGGGATAACATACACGAGCATGCTAGAAAGTCCTGCAACATTCCAGTGGACTGTGTTGTTTTGGGCTATTCACGTCGAATATCCTAGCATATTTTGAAATGGATGGCTGATACAGCGGGTGAGATTGGATATTTCGTCCCCCAAGGGGAGTATACTAAAGGTTAGGTTACCGAAAGATAACGATGTTACAGATACCTCTGTATGTGGATTCTGTCGTGTAGGGAGTTACACAGCTGGCTGTGAATTCTGAAGCACATAGTACTTACAAGATTGAAATACGCAATATCAACCCCCATTGAAGTTCGCACTATAGTGTAAATTACAAGAAATAGTTTACACGTACATCAGTTTGAACACTTACCTCGGATTATTTTGATGCAATCGATATCCGGAGGATAATTGTGTGGATATGCAGGACTTGTGAAAGTATAAAACCGTGTTCCCCTGTCCTTTGACGGGGATTCGAAATAGTTTCCGAATCCAAGGGTGCCGTGTAGTCGATCCGTACTCGCAGACTTAATGCTAGAGGTCGGATCACCGGGAAGAGGTCTGGGTGATTTGGTTTGATGTGCGTCGTTCCAAGCGGAGAACGGATGAATTTCCAAAAATGGCAACTTTAAGTAGTCGGCGTTGGTAGATGGGCTTTGAAGGTGGTATGTATTTATAAAACGTTCGCAAAGGCTAGACTGATTCGGTAATCGAAACATGCTCTCTTCATCAGTCGGTAGTTTAGCGCCGAGTAGGGGATCCACACTTGACCTTGTACTGTACAGCTGTGCGGATGATAGATCAACACTGGTGGCTGCAAGGGGAAATAAAGTCATGAGCGGAAAAATTGAGCTAGTTTCAAGGTAAAGCTAACTTCTTGGAGATGCAACTAAACCACTGATCTAACATGAAAACCTCAACCAGCTTTTACGTACAAATGGCCTGATTACTGGGGAAGTAAGTCAACTCAAAATGTGCTTTTATGCACACCGGGCGGGTGAATTTTCAGCGGTGGTTGTGTTGAAACTCCTGTCTAGTTGCAGATATGGTGGCGTTCTCATTCGAGTGCCAGTTAACGGGAAGACTTCAGCTAATTTATCAATGATAAGCTGATACCTGAGGAAGATGAGTTTCAATTGTAGTTAAATAAGAGAGCTGACGTGTGCGCCAGGCAAACGCAAGCACACTATGATTGGCTACGAGGTGTTGATGAACTTGTTCAAGAGTATAGCAAGACTACATCGACTGAGGATGCCATATTAAGGGAACTACGTTTAGATTGAGCACGCAATATGTCCGCAAAATAACGGCTACTGCGTGCCATTAGATTAATCATATACAAACATTTCCGACCAAAATTTAGAACAAAACAATCAGCACATTCTTCCACGGCCGCCTATATAGTCTTCTAGGTCAGATAACCTGCGCTAGCTTTTTGTTATACTTCGCACAGCGTGCATTGCTTAAGCTCACGTCGATGCAGTCTCTCTTCGGCCTCGGCGGTTAGCCTGAGCGGGGTTAGCTTCACTTTGATTGGCGGCCTCAATTAGTCTTGTGCGCCTCAATCCATCCAAGTAACAGGGAGTTCAAATGAAACCACAATGAGTCCCTTACCAGTGTGACAAACATTAACTTGGCTATCAAAGCATGCATTGTCAGACTGTGCTTCCCGGGCCCCAGTTCCCGTTCTGTTGCCTCCGGCTGATAACCATTGGTGGAGTTCCATGTTGCGACTGTGTATTACCACACATTTAGCATCCTCAGACACCCTCCTAATGACCGAAATGAGGGAAATTCACCTCAAGAGAAACAGCAGGCTTACTTGGGCCCGAGTAGCACAATCCATTCAGACAACGGATTCTCCATACCAACCCACACTCCCCTTTAGCTTTGGCGTTATGTTAACTAGTTTAGATTTACAGTGTACAGACAATGAGTGGATGTGTTAGCTTAAAGTTGCTTGCCGAATAACCTCCTCTTGGTGCCAACTGGGTGGTCTGGGTTAATCCCGTTCCAGCGAGTGGTTCGGCGACGATGATCGAGGAAGTTGTGGTTCTCCCTATAAAAAGCCATAAACGTACATTTAACAACATTGCGACGTGGCGGATGTGACTCGTTACTAAATAAGGTCACTACCCCTTGCTTTCCTCCGATGGAGCATTGTATTTCACACCTTGTTGCTAAATTTGTGGGGAGGATTGGACCCTTGTTTGGTAACTGACCAAACGAAAGGTCTATGAACCGAGCAATCGATCACCGTCTCCCAATTCACGCGATTCCCTGCACTCGCTCCGCTGCCTTGTGGATTGACTATTTAGCCAATGGCTCGGGGTGGAGTCCCCTAAGACAACTCCATACTTCGGCCTAGGCAACCGGGTAGTATCTCGCCTACTGACGAACCAGTGAAAACATACTCATACTCGCGCTCTCACTAGGTTTTACGTTCTTGTTAATGCACCAGCTTTACAATCACACGCCACCCAATTATCTACCTTCCTTTGTATTATTCACCGAATTCATTACCTGATTCTTCGACAGTGAACAACTATCTCTCTATCGGTGAATTCGTCCCTTCAACGTCCGTCAACTCAGCCACATAGTTCTTCGCAGGGAACCACCAGTCACAAGGTTTCCCATAATTGCTTCTGCAATCTGGAACTCGGTTCAAGCTAGCAACACTAAATGTGCGCATTCTACTGCAGATCGGACAAGAAGCGGGACTAGCGCGCACCTTGGAGACCCTTGCAATTGATGTCTGCTGCCTGACTGCGACACGACTTCAGGATCCTAACCGAGTCTACCAGCTATCGTCACCAATCCACCCCCACACCCGTTTTCATCTCCGCCTTTCTGGTGACGCTGAGTCTGCCGCTTCTGGGCAAGCTGGTGTTGGGATTGCGCTCAGTGCTAGAGCCGAGGCCGCCCTCCTTGATTGGATTCCAATCAACAGTCGTCTCTGTGCTATTAGGCTCCGTGGCTCCTGCAAGGTTAGCAGACATCGAGCCGATAAGCGTGCTCTTTTTGTGATCTCCGCCTATGCCCCCACTGACTGCAGCTCGGATGCAGTCAAGGACCAGTTCTATCAAAGTCTTCATGATCTGCTCCTAAGGGCACCTAAAACGGACATCATCATTATGGCAGGAGATTTCAACTCACGCGTTGGTCGGCTGCTTCCATCTGAACGCCACCTCGGGGGACCACATGGATATGATGATGTTCGCTCTGACAATGGAGAAAGATTGCTCAGTCTGTGTGGCGATCACCAACTTTTCCTCTCCAGTACGAGCTTTCGTCACCCCAGGCGACATTATGCCACCTGGCGTCCTCCATCATCAACCCAGCGTTGGTCGCAAATTGACCACATAGCCATAAGTCGAAGGTGACGTGGAAGTATACGCGATTGCCGATCATACTGGTCTACTTGTGTGGAAACCGATCATGCATTGGTGTGCGCGACCGTTTGCATGCGTTTCGGTGGCTCCCCAAGGGCAAAAGAAGCCCGACTGAACATTTGCAAATTGGAAGATCCTGCAGTACCAACAGAAGCTTCGTGAAAACCTTGCCCCCTCTTCTCTGCATGCAGACCAGCACTGGTTAGGCTTGCAAAACGCCATGCTGTCCGCAGGTTTGTCCAACTGCGGCCTCGTCTGCTGCACAACTAAAAGCTGGATCTCAGCAACTTCCTCGGAACTTCTAGATCGTCGACGTGCCGTGCCCGCTGGCACGGAACACAACGAAATCCGTCGGTCTATTTCTCTACAACTGAAAGCAAGCCTTCGCTCTGACCGTGAATCCTGGTGGTCTAGGCGTGCTGCTGAGATGGAGGCCGCTGCATCGGTTGGAAACTGCCGCAGTTTGTTTCGTCTCATCAAGGCCACCGGTTGCAATTCACACGCCATCAGTCAGACAATCTGTGAGTTAGACGGCACAAAAATCACCAACCTGCAGAAGCGATTAGAGCGCTGGGCAGAGCACTTTGCTCTTCAATTTAACTACCAAGCACACCCCTCTGTGACACCATCTCCATCGGATGTTGCTTGGCCTGTCCCAGTGACCCTCCTACCGAAGTAGAGATCCGAAGCGCAATCCGATCTTTGAAACGGCATAAAGCTCCCGGCCCTGACAGCCTTCCTCCGGCTCTTTTCAAAGATGGCGGGGATGTACTTGTCAACGAATTGCTCTCGCTTTTCACAAAGGTTTGGACTGATGAGAAAGTCCCCAACTCATGGGGAGACTCAATCGTTGTCCCGCTTCACAAGAAAGGCCCCGCGAAGATTGCGCTAATTACCGCGGTATCTCACTGATCTCAGTTGCTTCCAAGATTTTTGTGTCCATCTTACTTCGCAGGCTTTCCTCCACCAAAGAGAGTTTTCCCAGAGAAGAACAAGCCGGTTTTCGCCCAGGCCGAAGTTGCATTGATCAAATCTTCACGCTCCGACAAATTCTCGAGCTCCGCCACGTCCACCGTCGACCAACAATCGTAGTGTTCCTGGACATCCGCGCGGCATTCGATTCAGTAGACAGAGCTGCTTTGTGGAATTGTCTACTAAGGAAGGGTGTGCCCGACAAGTTTGTCGCCATTCTGAGGGAACTGTACAGTCACACGTCGGGCAAAATTAGGGCTTACGGCAGACTTTCCTCTTCGTTTGCTGTCACCAGCGGCGTTCGCCAAGGTTGCCCTATTTCACCTTTCCTCTTCAATTTTGCCATCGAAGATGTCGTGCAACGAGCGCTAGAAGGTGTCCAGAATTGCGGTGTTGAGCTTCTCCCTGGCACCAGAATCGCAGACTTGGACTACGCCGATGACATCGCTTTGCTGGGTGACGATCTGCAAACCGTCCAAAACACCTTGAATTGCTTAGCGATTGAGGCATCCAATTATGGCCTGTATTTCACAGCCAAATATAATGAGTTATTTCAGGGTTGGCAGAGACCTGCGTCCGTGTTCACCATTGCTGGTGACATCCCAGAACAAGTGAATTGCTCCACTTGTCTAGGGAGTCGCGTCACGGTTGGTGGCGGTGTTGGAGATGAGGTTTCACAGCGCATTGCATACGCCTTGCTTTCATCAAACTGAGACATCTGTTTCGCCGTCATGACGTCTATCTCAAGCTCAAAGGCAGGGTGCACAATGTTTCCGTCCGTACGGTCCTGCTGTACCGCTGTGAGACTTGGCCTGTTCGCTCCGAAGACGTGAGACGATTGTCAGTTTTTGACAACCGTTGTCTGCGAAGGATCGCTCGTGTGTGGTGGCAAGATCTTATAAGCAGTATGGAGATTCCTGAACGAGTGCCTGGAGCGAACAGCCGTATACTTCAAAACGTTGTTCTCCGACATTGCATGCGTTGCCTCGGTCAGGTACTGCGGATGACAGCTTATCGCCTTCCTCAGCGAGCGTTATTTGCACTTCCCCGCAGCTATTGGGAAAAGTATCGCGGTGGACAACAATTGACGTGGAAAAATAGCATGAAGAAAGCGGCCTCAAGCTTAGCTTCAGTCGGATCAGTACGCCTCCCAGATTAGGGACCATGTAACTCGGATTTCTTGAGGTTGCAAACGCCGGATGTGACGGCACGAAACAGGCACCAGTGGCGCCATTGTTGTCATGCCGTTTTTTTCTGTTGATTAATCTCAGAGGTATATTTATACATAAAAAAGCAAAGAAAAATCAAAAATACGGCGTGTGTGAAACCCCAGAAACGTACTGTCTTTTTATTGTTTTCTTTCGTACGCTTTTTGTCTTCTTTTTTTCATGGTTCTGATGACACATTGTCTGTATGCAGCCTTGTGAATATATATATATATATATATATA